GACGTGCGGTCCCAGTCCCACACCTCGACCGAGAGGCGCCGCTCAGCGTCCCCGGGGCGGAGAGTACTGGGAACGACACACAAGGGACACGTATGACAGCGTGTGGGACACGTGTGGGTCATACGTGTGACACGGGACGGGTGCATGGCATGGGACACATTTCCCGCCATTTTGTCCCCTCACGTTTCCCACCATTTTGTCCCCTGGAGTTTCCCGCCATTTTGTCCCCTCACCTTTCCCTCCCTTTTCCCCTCACATTTCCCTCCCTTTTCCCCTCACATTTCCCCCCTTTTCCCCTCACATTTCCCTCCCTTTTCCCCTCACATTTCCCACCATTTTCCCCTCACATTTTCCTCCATTTTCCCCTCACATTTCCCTCCATTTTCCCCTCACGTTTCCCTCCATTTTGGGATGGGTTGGGGACATTTTGGGGTGTGTTTTTTTCGGAGGGGGTGTTATTTTTTAGTGGGGGGGAATCCTCACAATAGAAAGGCTTCATTCCACACGGGGTTCAGCGTCGCCTTCACCGTCCTCGTCTTCTGCTTGGACACGTTCTTGGGGTCCGGGATCAGCTTCAGCTTCACGTAGGGATCCGAGAGCCCGTTGGGATCCATCGGGATCAGGTTCCGCGCCTCCCCCACTGAGGGAAAACACGGAATTCCGGGGGGGTTTAGAGGGATTTGGGGGTTCCCAGGTGGATTTTGGGATATCCCAGGTGGATTTTGGAGGCTTCCAGGTGGATTTTAGGGGGTTCCCAGGTGAATTTTGGTGCATCCAAGGTGAATTCTGGGGGCGTCCCAGGTGGATTTTGGGGGTTCCTAGGTGGATTATGAGATATCCCAGATACATTTTAGGATATCCTAGGTATATTTTGGGGTCCCAGGTGCATTTTGGAGTATTTTGGGGTTCCCAGGTACCGGTGACGTGGAGCTGCTCCCCGGGCAGGGCCTGGATGTGGATCTGGAGCAGCTCCCGGCGCTCGGTGTGGGGGGATTTGGGGTGGGTTTTGGGTGGATTTTGGGTGGATTTTGGGTACATTTTGGGTGGATTTTGGTGCATTTTGGGGTTCCCAGGTACAGGCGACGTGGAGCTGCTCCCCGGGCAGGCCCTGGATGCGGATCTGGAGCCACCCCCAGCGCTCGGTGTGGGGGGATTTTGGGTGAGTTTTGGGTGGATTTTGGGGTTCCCAGGCACATTTTGGGCACATTTTGGGTGATTTTGGGGTTCCCAGGTACCGGTGACGTGGAGCTGCTCCCCGGGCAGGGCCTGGATGCGGATCTGGAGCCGCCCCCGGCGCTCGGTGTGGTCGACCCCGCACAGGCTGGGCACGCTCTGCACGCAGCGCTTGTGCACGTTCATCTCGCAGCCTGGGGGGGTCAGGCAGAGGTCAGAGGTCAGGCAGGGGTCACACAGAGGTCAGAGGTCAGAGGGGGACCCCCCGAAACCCCCTCCTCACTCACAGGAGCACTTCATGCCCTGGTGCACGAGGCCGTAGAGGAGGGAGCCGCAGTGGTCGCAGAAGGTGGGGCTGCTGTAACTGTGCACCTTGAACTTGTGCTTGTTCCGGGGGTCCTGGGGGGGCAAACACCCCATTTGGGACCCCCAAAATACCCACAGAGACCCCCAGAACACCCAGGGACCCCCAAAATCCACCCTGGGACCCCCAAAATCCCTCCAGGGACCCCCCCAAATCCCTCCCCTGGGGGGCTGCTGTAAC